GAGAGAGAGAGCGAGAGAGAGAGAGAGAGAGAGAGAGAGAGAGAGAGAGAGAGAGAGAGAGAGAGAGAAAGAGAGAGAAAGAGAAAGAAAGAGAGAACGAGAGACAGACAGAGAATGATAGGGGAAGAGAGAGAGAGAGAGAGAGAGAGAGAGAGAGAGAGAGAGAGGGGGAGAGAGAGAGAGAGAGAGAAGAGAGAGGGGGGGGGGAGAGAGAGAGAGGGAAGAGAGAGAGGAAGAGAGAGAGGAGAGAGAGAGGGAGAGAGAGAAGGAGAGAGAGAGAGAGAGAGAGAAAGAGGGGAGAGAGAGGGAAGAGAGAGAGAGAGAAGGGGGAGAGAAGAGAGAGAGAGAGAAGAGAGAGAGAGAGAGAGAGAGAGAAAGAGGGGAAGAGAGAGAGAGAGAGAGGAAAGAGAGAGAGAGAGAGAGAGGAGAGAGAGAAGAGAGAGAGAGAGAGAGAGAGAGAGTGGGAGAGAGAGAAGAGAGAGAGGAGAGAAGAAGGAGAGAAGAGAAGAGAGCAGAGAGAGGAGGAAGAGAGAGAGAGAGAGAGAGAAAGAAGAGAGAGAGAGAAGAGAGACGAGGAGAGAGAGAGAGGGAGCGGAGCAAGAGGGAGAGAGAGAGAGAGAGAGGAGAGGAGAGAAGAAGAGAAAGAGAGAGAGAGGGGGAGATGACGCCCTCATTTCGCGTCATATTCGGTTCACGCACATATCGCGTCATTTCATTGAATTAATTTAAATTAATTGCAATTTTCATTTTAAATTTGTAAGATAATTTAATAACATTAACTTTATTTAATAAAATTAATTTAATTTTAATGTTTATTGTATGGTGATTTTTAACGTCATTTTCGCGTCATTTCGCGCGTCATTTCGGGCGGTTTAGGAGGTTATTTCTTTATTATTCCAGCGCACTCATCTGCTGGCCGATTTATACGCACATTTCGCTGTTTAGTAGCACATTTCGCTGTTTAGTATAATATTTTTTACACATTTTGATACATTGCGGCAGTTATTGATGCACATTGCGCCACATTCTTACCTATTCCGCGCACATTCCGCTGTTTAGTACCACATTTCGCTGTTTAGTAGCACATTCCGCTGTTTAGTATAATATTTTTTACACATTTTGATACATCGCGGCAGTTATTGATGCACATTGCGCCACATTCTTACACATTCCGCGCACATTCCGCTGTTTAGTACCACATTTCGCTGTTTAGTATAATATTTTTGACACATTTTGATACATCGCGGCAGTTATTGATGCACATTGCGCCACATTCTTGCACATTCGTGCACATTTTGGCACATTCCGCGCACATTTCGCTGTTTAGTACCACATTCCTGCACATTCCTGCACATTTCGCGCACATTCCTGCACATTCCTGCACATTCCGCGCACATTCCTGCACATTTCGCTGTTTAGTAGCACATTTCGCTGTTTAGTAGGTCCCGGCAAGAACAGTTAGCTTCACATTACTCAGAACTACATATATACCTCACTCGCTTCTTTATATCTACGTCGACCAAAAACGTACCAATTTTCCCCAAGTATAGTATTCCTGCCCAGGTTCACCTGGCAGAGATATTGCATTGTTTCATCAAATGATTTTAAACTTGCTTTGCTAGTCTTGAAGATTGCAAATTGATCAGATGTAAAGAAATAGTTAAGAGCACAGTACATGTACCTTCAAGGTGCAAGAATCATTGACTGAGCAAAAAAACTTACTATTCAGTCGGGCGAGCTTCACAAGCAACCGACTTCTGGTGATGCTTGGTGACTGCAGGCAGATCCTATAGGCCTGGAACCTCGGGCTACATTTGAAAGAGTTTTCCATCTCTTCTCTCTTTTTAACCAGGCGCCTATATCTTGGATCTGCATAGAATAACAATGTCGGCAGACACAATAATATTTGTGAACAAACATATAGATATATTGCTACATAATGTTAGTCCCCTACTGTGTGACACCACTCTTCAAAATCAAGATCAAGCTAAAGTTGAGTCTCGACTCTTGGGACCAGAAATACCAATTTTGGCTGAAGCTGAATTCGTCTACAATGTTTAGAGATCCGCCCACATCAAACAAAAACAAGTTAGTCTGTAGCTTGTTATTGCATCCATTGAAATTGTGCGAATTTGAGGAAATTTCAGGACCCACTTCCGGCCAACTTTGGACCCTAAAAGCACACCTATTCCTCCAGATGCATCCACACACCAATTTTGGTTAACTCATTTCAAATAATCTTTGAGTAATGTACTAGACACGTATTGACGGATTGAGTGCAAACCTATAGTCACCTCCGGTTTAATATCAAAATGCAGTAATTTCTTTTCAGTTGGTTGTAAATTCAACTAATTTATACAGATGTAATATATTGAAATTATTAGTAACTCCGCATTGTCACATAATACATATACCAATCAAAAAGACTGTTTGGAATACATCCTTGTTACAAATTTCTATCAGTGGCAGATAAGCTGATCTAGAAATACACTGGTCAACATTATCTTTACCTTCATGGTCCATGCTACGGGGTGTGCCACAATGAAGTTCAGATGGTCTGTTCATGCCAGGAGGGAGCTTGGAGGATTTGTCTGCAGACATCATATTGGCAACAATCTGTTGCTGCTTTGCTCTGCAGACTAGAAATATGGAGTGCATAGTTTAGAGTTCATTACCACACTATAACACGCAAGGACATCAAAGACCAAATACCACATACTGTAAATCTCACTGAAACTATACTAATACCTAAAACAAGGAATAGACTTCGAAATCAATTTTATATCTTCTAGCATTATTTATAAACAAGTTATATCAGAAATTCATGGCCTAGATGCAATGCAAAAATTAACAAGACAGTAGGTATCCGGAAGCTCCCGCCAATAAAGGTTATAATATAGATGATTGATGCCAGCACAGCTCATTAATATGCATAGATCGTGCACGGATCTGATCCGTCATCGAACTTGTTCGAGATATATGCGTTCTAAACTCAAATTTCAATTTTGGTCAAAATCCGTGAAGAAATGTCAAAGTTATCGCGTTAACATCATAAATGCGGACGAACGCACGGAAGGACGGAGCCCATTTCCATAGCTCCCGCCCCGGCACCTTTGGTGACGGCGGGAGCTAAAAAAATACCTATCAGAACTGACAAATCTTATAGCTCCTTGCCCATGGCAAGAAGGAAATTTTCAAAAATGTCGGGACAAAGTGTAAATTCACTTAATAATTTTTGTCAGGCAAGTGGAAAATGTGTGTGACCTTGTCAACTGCAGACACTGTCACCAAGAACCCCTCTTGATCCCATATTAATTATTACCATTTGAATTTTAATGTTCATAGTATCACTATATATACTTCACAGTACTGTATACAAATTTATAAACGTTTACTTGCGTGTCAAGGACATGAGTTTGCATATTGAGGGCAATTGGAAATACAATCAGGGCAAAAGGAACTCAAATTTCAAGTACAAGGGTGTTGACAAGTATGTCAATCTCAATAATATAGTGTATGGGAAGATGTACCAATTCTTGCTGCCGCTCTCCGTCCAGTGTTTCTTGCACGCTTCACACTGAATGTTGGGTTATATTCACCGGCTGGGCGGGCAACAGCCACAAATCCCTGAAAAGTATATCACATTATTAGAGTTAGAAGATGGTACAAGTTGCAATTGGTCATAAGAGGCAATTGGAAGTACGTAATTGTCCGGTCATCATCCGTTACACTCACATGTACAATAGGTTAATTACCATGACTGGAGCAGAGAAACAGTGACCAGTCTATACATATATGTCTACCAGATAAAGATGAACCTAACAACCCCCACCCCACATATGCGCATATATCCATAGCATGTGATGCTATCTTTGAAACAAATTTTGTAATACTTGTACATAATCAACACAGAGAATTGAAATTTGACATAACAATGCACTCATTGGCAAAATCAGAAAAAAAGAGCACTAAATCTTTGTTATCAATATTAATCAGCATCTATTAAAGAAACTTGCAAAAATATGACAAAGATAGTATTATGATCGATATAACCTTTTGCATAACTCTTTTCCTGCGAAATGGATTGGCGGCCCTCGGTTTCGCATTTCTTTGTCGCGGTTTGCCGACCATCGCCTTGTCCCGTGGTAGATCTGCAGGTCGATATACGTCGTTGGTGCCAGCCTTCATCATAACAGATAGCTGGTCCCACATCTTCATCCCATCTATACTGAAGAGCCGGCAAATTTCATTGTACACCACCTGCAAATATAATGGTTATGCATATATTTAAAATAAATGTAGCTCTCCATTTTGGCCACCATTTTATATTGAATAATATAGTTGAAAATGCTTTCTTGACACCTAGTTATAGACCTGGGGGGGCTACATGAAAAATGGAGCTTTTTAATGTATTTTTGATAATTTTGTTGGTTGAGGCATTTTTTTCTCTAAAATATCTTCCCAAATGTAGACCCCACACTGCCAACCTAAATTGTTCCTCAATAATTGCAGTGCAAATATGGGGTGTAAATGTTCCACGAAATTATATGCCGTGATAAAAAGAGATGCAGTAATTTGATTGGTTCATACAGTCAGTCAGCAAATGCCAATTTTGTATACCACCATGGTCGTGAGTCCCAAGATGTGTGTGAAATAGAATGGGTTGAAGGAGAAGCTTTACGGCACAGAAGTACAGAAAGGCCATTCAGGGCCAGGAGGCCAGGAGGCAATCTTACCTCAGTATCACGAGAACAGAGGGCATTGTTTCTACTGCCCTTGGGTTTTGCCAGTTGCTTTGCCCGAACACTCTTGACAAGCATCTCCTTCTCTGCTGCCTTTACCTCGTCCATACTGCCAACAGAACCTGCGTGTAGCATCTCTGCAGCCTTTATGTGTTGGCATGGATCTCGTAGAGAACTTCTCCAAACGTAATCTGTGCAAGTGCAGGTGCGGCATGTGAGATCCACCATCACTTTGCCTGGTTGTTTGGAACTGCCAGCTGGGTACATGGTTGCCTACAGGTCGGTGAGAAGAGATGTGTCCGTGACACTGATGGTTACCCAGTTACCCTTGTGATCTCGAAATCTGTAAAAAGAAGAAAAATAAAATATAAATATCAACTGAACTATAGTTTGATGTATTTATAGTGATTTTTTTATAGTGAGACTGACCCAATTGCCTCAAAAGGCACATCTAAAGTTCATGAGGATCATATCTGTGAAGTATGGTTCCAATCCAATTGGTAGTTGTCGAGAACTGCTCAGGAAATGATTTTCAATGACCGAGACCTACTTTCCAGAATGTAGGTCACACTTGACTCAATCACCTCAAAAGAAACATGTATTTGGGTACATGAGCGAAAGGTTGACGATGGCGCAGCTTCTGCTTCACGGGCAAGACAAAATGTCTGAATGTGGAATTTTAATACCGAAATTTCAAAGATTCTAGGTTTTATTTTTATATTGCAGATGTTTATATTTGCCTTATTTTGGGATCCATCACCAATGCCAAATAGTATTTTTTTTCAATTTCTGTTTCAAATAACAATTTATCATTAGGCCAAAACAAAATATAGGTGTTCTTACGGTTTCCCACCCGAACCCTATTTATTCTCAGCAACCCTAAACATTTTATTGTCAATTATTTTAATTTTCAAAACATTTAAAAAAAATGAATTCGACAGTTCCTGCTTCAAAAAGCACAACGCACATCCTTCGGACATGGTTCGTAAATAAAATATTTCAAGAAAATAAAATGTTTTCCCTACCTACCTACCCTATTTTTTTTCGGCATGTAACGGTAACCACACATATATTTTGTTTTGGCCTTACACAAAGTTTACATAAAAATAAAGATCATAACATCTATATTTTATGTGATGTGGCGCCAAGTTATGAATAATAAATTCTATTGAAACGGGATCAGCAGGAGATGGCCAATTTCCATGTGATTCCAGTATACAGCCCTGATTTTATTAAAATAGCAAATAAACCAGTGCAGTCTAGAAATACAGACGGAGACACATTCTAAACAAGTTGAAACGCTTACTTCTGTGACTTTTCTGTCTCGTCCTGCACGAAATACATGTGGTTGGAGTTTTCCACTGACTGAGCCTTGTCGAGAAGAAATAGAAGTCTTCCTTGATTCACTCTCGTCTTTATGTCTGTAGGGATCAAATCTCTTTTTCCAATGCTACAAACATACCATAACATTTGCTAATTTCTAAGTCATTGCATTAAGAGTCAACAGTCTGATAAATATAGGATATTGGAAATTACAATTTGACACACTCCGTACAAAAGATACAAGCACTTCCAAGGGATAATTCTAATTTTCAAGGACTATTAACAATTGTATTTAAAATTAATAGCTCATGTCACAGCCATTCGATGTATTCCAATTGATTTTGACCATATACAGTCGAATGCAAAAACAAATCGTGAACTCCAGAATTATCAACTACAATTTCATTCTCAGCCTTAGTTATATACATATCACAAATCAAATCAACTGTATTATGAACAAACCTGTGGCATATTGTGCGAGCTGCCTCTGTATCCAAAAGGGAGGCCTTTTTTCTCTTGATCGTTTGCACGGTACTGTTCTCCTTGGCAGCCTGATGACCTGAAAATCGATACAATTCTCCATTTAAACAAGAATCTGGCTAGAATATGGTGGTGAGCTGGGCTTAAAAAAGCTATAGCTAACTGAGGACTAAAACCAAGAAATTTGCCGATTAATAATACAGTATTATCAACCACATAGGTACAATGCAAGGCTTATGTTGCATAATTGCATGAGTGTTTTGTTTTGTTTTTTGAATACCAAGCACTTGTTAGAACTAAAAAAAAATGTTTCTCTGAGAAAGAATATTTCCACATTTTAATACTCAACACTAAAAAATGTTTTATGAACACCACACACACACAAAAAGAAAAATAAGTGAAAATGTTGAGGCCAGAATGTGTACTCTAAAAGATGTCACAGGTGTAATCAAAACCCTAACCCTGGTGAAACAAGGGTATCAGATTGTGTGATGTGTGCATTTGAGCTATAATGCGATCTGGTGATACCAAAAACAAGAGACGCTCAATTAAATGATGAATTATACTATACAATAATACTAAATAATTCAGCTTCACAGTTAACTATCCAGATAGTTACCTGTCAACTCGTAGACAAGTTTTGAAAGTTTTTTTCTTTTTCTTCCAACACAATCTGTAACTTTGAGGTTCAAATTCTCATCATGATTGTTTGTTGTCATGACACGACCCCCGTTGGCAAGAACAGGCAACCGGGAACAATCCAGCCAGGCCATCCGCCACTTCTCACACCACCACTCATCTCGGAAGTAACTAAGCAAAGACTCCTTGACACTCTCTGCAACTGGCAACTTGTTCAGGAGCTAAAAAGACAGATAAAAATGATAATTAAAAAGATACAGAGATACAAGACTTTTGTTGAGAGTGGTTTTGAATCAATCTTTTTGAAATTTAAAATTACAGATTTTTTTAATTTTCAGTTTGTGAATTTAATATCACTTGAAATCAAATATCTTTTGCACAATATGTAAATGTAATTGTTAATGATTATAGAATTTCAATTATTCCCACATTTCGAATACAAAATCTATTTTAAGAAGGATCTATAATGTATCATGCTACATATACTTTTATGACATCCCTTGTATAGTATACTATTGGAACAAATTAATAGTAATTTGAAATCTATTTCTAAATTTATTTTTTTGTTTTAATATTGAAATACAGAACATTGTCTGTAATGGCCTGATTTTTATTTTATTTTACTTTTTTTTCAAGTTCACAGTTTACCCACCAAGCATTTTACTCAAGTAGTCTTCGTTCAAGTATTTACGGTAATCATTAGAAGTTTCTTAATATCAGAAAACCTTTTTTTATTTGTAGTATTTGCAACACCTGTAGCATCTGACTGTCAGTAATAGCATTTTTATTTCAATTCTCTTTTTACGAAACCATGCACTTTTTTATTATCAAAGATGCTATTAGACATTTCACAAAAGAAATAATGACTTGTGTCTATTGGTTGAATAGAATAATTAAAATGAAAATAAAGATGGAACTGAAATGCAAAATTGTACTGTAAGGTCAGACAGTCTGAGTGACAACACTGGAACACATTTAGTAAATACAATGTACATATATACGTACCTTGACAAACAACGTCCACCGATGTTCAGCTGTAGGATAGTCAACAGCTCTTGCAACCATCTTGAAGCCCATGATAACCACGTAGGAGTTTATGAGGTCTGTGCAAGACTTGAGCCTCTCCATTAACGTTTTCACCAGGTGGAACTAACATAGAACATATTTCAGTCCTAAGCGCTCACACGCGTTTGCCGAGGCCTCCGACTTGTCAATCATGACGAGTGGCTTGTATGGTGTAGAGTGCGAACACGGTGTGAAACGCCTGTACCCAATGTTTCCGGCCAGTGGATAATACTGGTAAGGGTGTTCACAATCTGCATCAGCGCATGGCACATTCTCGAGAATTGCCCTCAACCCCAACATGATTGTGTCTGTGTTCTCCCGGTTCATGATTGTGAAAGCAGTGGGGCAACCGAATCCGGCACTGTGCTGCGTAATGGCGGTCTGCAAACAGGCCCCATCATCTTGAAGGCCATGTTTACCGTCAATGCCCAGAATCAGGGAGTTGGTTCTGGCAGATTGCAGGGCTGTTTGATTAGATAATGCTAAAACATAACATTTGTCAAGTTCACCTACATTTGCTGCAGGATTGTCTTTCTGATAATACAAGGCAATTCCTGAATCTCTCAGTGTCCCAATAGCCACAGAATGGACAGCAGACCACTGGCCTTGCTGGTAGGCATGTCTCTTCTCGGTATTTGAAATGAATGACTTCAGCCTGTTGTCGGTTGCATGGAGCTTTGTGTTGTTGAAAGCAGTATTGAGTTCTTCTTCTGCAACATCAGCCAATTCTGTACGGAAAATGTCAAATGGTCTCAAGCCCAGAGACCTGCTTGCCATGATGCGGTCCTTCACGCTTTCCGCCAGTTTGTGACGCTGTTTCTCCACAGGTCTTATGTCAGGTTGCCACACAACACCATCCGGTACAAGCTGTCCTTGGACTGTCACTACCCACTCTGTTGGATCAGATAGCATACATCTGGTTGTCACACGAACTGTGCAGTCATGCTTGTCATGTCGACCTCGGCATTTATTACAAACTGCGAAAAACACAACATAAATATTTAAATATTTAAAAACACAGTACATCAACAGTTACCTCCCCTGAATGTCCCTTAATCAATCGTTTTCCATACCACATCGGTCCATTGAATTAATTGAAAGGTGCCCATGAATTTGCAAAAAGTGTTTGTCTTGTACATGTACATGTATATGATGGATAATAAAAATACTTCATACTTTATACTTAAAAAATTTTCATGTCTGATAAAAAGTTAATCGCATTAGGGTTAAAATCTCTCAATCAGAAAGAAGCTACTACTGAGTCCGGCACTGTATCCATACTGCAACCGAGTCATAATTAAATAAACAGGTCATAATGAAACAAACAGGTGTATTATTTTATTAGAAAGGCCGCTACATGCATATATACACAGTGCTCGAAATAAGAAAAAAAATGTGGTTGTCCTGCGGACAACCCCGGCATCAAATCAGGTTGTCCGCAACAATTTCTGGTTGTCCCTAAAAATATCCCCAAATCTCCTATTTTTAATCACATAATAGTATGATCAGAAAACACCCAAAAACAGTGGCGTAGCCAGGATTTTTTAACAAGGGGGGCCAAAAACAGCGAACTGCGCAAAATAGTGGATGACTTAATATTTTAATGGCTCCTCCGCCTCCCTCTCTACACCCTA